AAAAACACAAACAGTATTTATTAATTTAACTATCATACTTTATTACAAGATTAATTATTTACTATCATAATTTATTACTAGTTAATTAATGTTAGTATAACACAATGAGGCACACTGTTATTTATATAAGCTCATAGTTCTAAGAATTCATTTAAGGCGGTGAAGAATAAACCATCCCTTACATATGAACATTTTATAGATAGCAAGGAACAGTATGAGAAAAAATCGGTGAGGTATAATATTATTTAAAGGCGAAACTATATTTAAGCGATCTAAAAAGAAAAGAGAATCCAGAAGATCCGAGAGGGAAATAGGGCGATGCCCAAATTTTCCCTCTCACGAGATTCCTTAAGGGCTTTGTAAGTGGTGACAGACGTGAACTGATAACGTTGGCGTCTGTTTGGAGTTGATACACAAAGGAATCCACAAGCAATGAGCAATTTCAAGTATTTTTTAATGCTTTAAACTGATGGAAAAATTAAGATTTATTGATTTAAAGGCACTTACTTATAGAAATTTGATTCAGTTTAGATGAAAGAAAAGTACTTATCTTAAAATTCCAGGCTTTTGAAGTATATCCTTACATTGTCCGCTGTTTTATTCTCGGAGCCGAAGTTCATTGGAATGATATAGGTGTTGTAGAAAAAACACTATTTCAAAGTAATTTAATTGATAATCACCAAGGGGAAAGGAATTGTTTTCACTTTTTTACGGAGCGCTGTGAACGTCCTCCCGTGCGACTAAGATCAAAGGTTTGCTCCCAGTAAAAAGTATTACTTCCAGGAATGAAAAAATTGTAAAATAACGCTTTTAAATATTTGTCAAACAATTTTACAAACATTTAAAACCCAGTATATATTTACTGTTATGAAATATAATTACAAAAGCGATGTTAAGTATAAAATTTATAGACAGGAGTTGGAGTTTACCAAAAAGAATTTAAATAAAGGAATTTTAATAACGAGTGTACTGTTGGTATATCACACCCGAAAATTTTCGCGATTACACTTCGTACAAGCGCCCATTAGTGACTGAGCGGTAAAATCGCTGAACACTGGTAGTTCGGTCCAACTTTCGAATCCCGACGAACGGCCTGGCTGCATGGGTGTTTTCATGATTTTCCCCATGTGTAACGTGTATGCAATATGTTGTGGATGCATACGTGAATGCAGCGAGCGGAGCCCAGGTAAAAATGCTGAACATTGGTAGTTCGGCTCAACTTTCGAATACCGGCGAACGGGCTGGCTACATGGGTGTTTTCGTAATTTTATGCATGTGTATCATGTATGCAGTAACTTGTGAATGCATACGTTAATAAAGCGGCTGCAGCAAAGGTAAAATCGAAGTACACTGGTAGTTCGGTCCAACTTTCGAATATAGGCGAAATTGAACATGGGAATTCTTTTAAAAACGAACAACGAAAAGCGGGCTTCAGCTCGCTCAGCTGGCGGGCTTGCCCGCTAGTACACTCATATTATGATTCATTATGAGAAGAACAGATATAATCAATGCAAAAAGAAACGCTAATCAGGAAAAAGGCAGTTGAATTTTCAAAAGAGTAAATCCATATACACATCTCTGACACATAAATACTTTCTGGCGACATCGCAAGTTGCGACGAAACTGTTTTGACATATTGCGTTGCCTCGTAAATACTGCTGCGTCACTACGGGTTCGTATTAGATTGAATGTACACAGAACCGATGATTAACTTCATAAAATTTATTTTATCAAAAGAAATACTTTACACTTCTGGAACTTTCCACAAAAGCTCTTCTCAGTATCATAGAGCACAATCAGTAGTTACACTTGAAACTACCAGTACCGTTCAACACAAGCAATGCAAAGCGCATCTAAAAGGAGAAGCTCTCTCGAATATCACAATACTCCAAATTCGCTCTGAAATAACAACTTGAGGAGATGCTCTTTCTGGTCTCATATAGTTTTCCTTCGGCTGCAGAGAAATCTCTAGCACCTTTCACTTTCCGAAATTATTGGAAAGCATATGAGGGCCGGATACTGTTAGAGTTATATCTAGGAATTAGATTTATTCAATCACAGTTATATACGGACCAAACCAAAAGGTCACCAAGTTTGGCAACTTGGCGGTGATAAAAATTAGACCGTCGCCAGCTTGGCGATTACTCTATTTGTTAACCCTGTAATCTTATTTTTCCTAATGACTGCACGTCCCGGGCAGTACAATCCAAGGAGAGAATGCCATACTTACGACTGAAAAAACTCAAGGCAATAATAATTTCAATAAATAACGTACAATAAATCAAAAACTAAACCAATAAATAAATGCATGAATTTAAGACCGTGTACAAACAGGACCGTAGTCTTCGTATACTATGTACATTACACACACTGTGAGGATTACAACTATGGCCATAGAAAGAAGCTAACTTATCGTAATGAAAAACTTTAGGCTTAGACTCTGATGACATACGTATCCGAAATACGACGTTTTTCAGTCTGTTTAGAGCTGTGTAAGGACCGTCCCAAGGTAACTGTAGTTTAGGATAGAGTTCTTTGTGTTGAACCAGATTTTTCCCTAGGGGGCCGACTGGGGTCACTCCCTGAGTTCTGACTAGGACCTGTACCAAAGAATCTACGGGCGATTCTTTACCTGTACCTAGACAGACTGGAGTCCTGGGGTAAATAATCAGTCTTCACAGTGACTAGAAGCATCCTTTATTCCACTGATGCTCAACCTTTTTAAAATCGCCGGCCCCCTAAAAAGCGAAAGACTTTTCAACTCCCACTTTGTGCAAATCTTATAATTTAGAGCAGGGTTTTTAAAACTTTTTTCGTGCTGAGGTTACACTTAAGATTTTTGGATATTGACCCACTCCCGTAGAAGGTCGGTGATTTTAACTTCGATTGATTAGTTACCTTCGGGTAAGCAAAATGTCCTTTTACAGGACACCACTCGATAGTTCTGATGAAGAGGACTACCGAAACGAGAGTTCGTTAAAATCGAACAAGATTTATCCACTGAAGAAAGAGGATTTTATTCTTATGGCAAAAGACAAGAGAAGTAAAGCAAAAAAGGCAAAAACTATGTCAGACACAGAAAGCGGAAAACCAAGGAAGAACAAAGATGTTAAGCCTTGCAAGGATAAAAGAGAGAGTCAAACACCTCAAGGAGAAGTTACTGATGAACAGGCACCACAAATTTCGTCAATGGAGAAAGCTAAGGACACCCCAAAATTCAAGACATGTTCTAAAGAAGAAATCCTGGACCAGATCGCGAAATTTGGATTTGACGTTATTTGAAATTACTTTCAGGAGAGAGCTAAAGGTGATATGGATGTGGAATCATTCACGAGAAAATTCTGTCCAGAGAGGATAACTGAAAGCAGAACAGAGAGCAAGGAACAAGAATGGATTACTCCTAAGAAAACCGAGAAAGTAACAGAAAGCGAAGCTCCAATGGAAGTTACGAAAGAAAATCGATTTGAACAGCTAAGTGAAGTAGAAAGTATGGAAGAAGAAGGAGGAGCCTATAAAGAGGAAAGTCCACCCCCGATAGTTTTCCAAATAGAAAAACCAAAGTGCATTTTCTGCTCACTGCAAGTTCTTACAGGGGTTGCCCCGTGTACAAGAAACGCTTTGAAGCAAAAAAGCAGCAGACGAAACCAGCAGATCAAGATTCCTACTCCGGCGGACTTTCCAAAACTCATTGAAGCAGAGGAAGACAGCAGTAAAAATCAGAAGAAACCCCTCTACAGCGATAGAGTAAGAAGGAAATTGGAACCCCCAACCTAAAGATTATAAAGAAGCCATAGACTGGATTCAAAATCCCAAAATTAGCAGATTTTTTAACAGCATAGTTGAGCATGTAGAGAAGGTTCGCGCTGCAAAAACCACGGCTAAGAAGTTTACTGCCAGGTTCAAAGCAGCCATAACACTGATGCGGTTTGCCGAAAGCGAAGATTAATCATCAACTTAGAAGCAAATGAGCAATTCCCACCAGTTTTTACGATTTTTTACCTTTTTCCAACACACAGGTTCCCCTGTTTCCAGCAGCAGAGCTCGGGGTCAGTACTTGGGTGGGTGGCCACCCACGTGACCGGCCTCGACGAATCATCTTTCTTGAACTAGTGAAGATACATCAAAGCTTGTACGGCGGCCAATGAAGAACCAGATGCTTGAACGCTACTTCTCCCAGCAATGCTCCAGCTTCACCTTTATCGGTGCGGTGTAAATTACCTAAATTTTCTAATTCTTCCCAACGCCTTAGCGCATATCTCCAACAGAAGCGGTTAAAGTAGCAGAGGCTACTAATTGCTGCTTAACCATTCACCCGATTTCGATTTAAACTTTTTTCAGTCGCGAACCTTTTTTACCACTGAGATTTTTTCGCGACCCTCACGACCCCATAATATTTACAAAAATTTTGTGGGACCCCATAAATATTGCGCAAATACGAAACACGCGTGAGTGAAACTGTCAACTTTTCACTTGTACTATAGTATACTATTGAAGTTTTAGGCCATTAACTTTATGTCAAAAATTTATAATTTAAGACATAGAACAATGGGAAAATTTTTAAAAAGTTACAGATGAAATAATAGCGTCACTTGCAAAGCAAGGAAAATGAACGTTTATAATACAAAAAGAATGCGTCGAGACGTTTTCGTTTTTTTTTTCTTTGTCTGTATTGTCTTATCTTTATCCATTTTCAGATACATTGTGCAAAAAATATTTGGTAATTGTAAAATTATTATAAGTTAAAGAAATATCAAAGCTGCTAAAATTTGTGGCGACCCCCAGTTTAAGAAACCCTGATTTAGGGTATGGGAAATGGGGTTCTTGAATTATAAAAGACAAAAAAATTAAGTAATTCTATTTAGACTTGCACACCAAATTTGTTTGATTTAACTCGATAGTTTTGCTGTGGAAGGTAATTACATTCCTTTTGTCAAAATTGAAATGACTAATGAAAAAAAAAAAAAAAAAAAAAACTCAAACTCTTTTTTATATTTAAAAATTCTTTATTCTTAATTAAAAAAGAACTGGAAAAATACACTAAAAGAGCAATATCAATGAAACAATCAAATATAATCACTGGGATGATTGCGCTTGAAGGTTCAGAGTCAGTTGCTGAACGTTTAGTTCAATAATTTTAGAAAGATGAAGGCGCAAGTCCCCTCTTTCTATGATTTGGAGTTAATTTGTAATTACATCAGTCACAGCATTGAATCCTCGCTCGACAAGATTTGAGGAAGAGAAGTCAGTTATGGGTTAAATGTCGTTGTCTTCTGAGAGAAACGGCGAAAGGCAGGCTTTAGGTTTGGCATCCCATTCATTTGCATTTGTCATTATAGAGAACTGCGTCTTATACAGTTGCCAAGAGTCTTTTCCATCATATGTGGATAGCTTTAGAGAGAGTTGACGATATATGTTCGAATTTAAAGGCGTTTGTGACCGGCTGTCCTTATGTATTCCGTTAAATTGTCACTTCCCTGGTCCCACCAGCAGAAATTCTGTCATCAATTTATTGTTGGACAGCAGATATTCGTTCTTGAATTTCTGGAACTCTATTTTGAACCGTGCCCATTCTATGTTCCGTAGCCTCAAATTTGTTTTCTGTTATTGCAGGAATTTCTCCTTTAATTTCCTCTTGTTTCAGTCTTTCCTTGGCCAGGTTCATCTATTCTTTGAATGGAGCAAAGGCTGCCACCAGCTTCTTAATTGGTACTCAATCGGTCTTATGACCTGCATTCAATCCCACTTCTGATAACAAACTGTTGCGTGCGTACGAGTTCGTAATAGACTGAATGCACACAGAACCGATAAGAGACTGATAAAATTTATTTTTATGAAAAGAAACACTTTGCAGTTTTGGAACTTTCCACAAAAGCTCTTCTCAGTATCATACAACACTATCAGTAGTTACACTAAAAACTACTAAGCACATTAAACACAACCAATGCAAAACGCATCTAAAATGAGAAGCCTTCACGGATATCATAATTCCCCGAATTTGCTCTGGACTAACAATTGAGAGGAGATGCTCTCTCTAGTCTTATATAGAGTTCCACCGGCCGCGAAGAAATAAATCTCTAGTACCTTTCCACTTCTCGAAATTACTAGAAAGCAATTATACAGTTAGAGTTACATATCAGAATTACATTTATTCAATCACAATATCAATTAGTCATACAAGGACCAAACGAAAATATCGCCAAATTTCCCGACTTTTGGTAGCGAGAAAAATTAGTCGCCAGCATGGCGGCATCTCTCCAAATTAGCGAGATAGCCATTTACTCAATGTTACATAGAACTTGCCCCCAATAATCTTATTTTTTCCACCCCGGCTTCGTCTCTTTCAAGCATGTCACGTTACATTATACGAAAAATACTACACTTTCACATATAATCCCATTAAAATTATCTGCATATGCACAAAATTCGTAACAATATATATATATATATCTATATATTTTAATTTTGAAAGGGAAAATTCAATGGACAGAGAGAAAGCCTAGAAAAAATTCGATATGATAATTATGATTTATTAAATTGAGCTTTATATCATTTTCTTCCTCACAGATGCACAAATAGGCTGACTATTTGACCTACAACCACAAAACTGTTTTACTTATGAGGGATTTACTCTTAAGAATTTCATATTGAACAAAAAGAGTAAATGGGTCCAATATGTAAATTTAACTTAACTAGGAAGCAATGATTATAAATAACTACAGTCTGTAGAGCTACACATATAAGTACGAGAGAAATCTCTAAGTGTAGGTACATAATACCACTGAAGCATCATTTTTTAATTATGGTGCAAACGTCAATAATCTCATTGCAAAATATTTTGTGTCACTATGACTGCACTGTTTATAAAATCAATGATATATGAACAGTCATATGCAGCATACAGTTTTTTATCCTAGGATGTATTTTTCTCTAAATGAACATGGCAACATCTGGAAATGTCTTTTAGTTATTACCTGAAGCTAAATTAGCACTATAATATATCAGATGTCAAAAAATTATCTTCAGTGGTGCAGTGAAAATATACAAATTACAGCAGCAGCCATATTCCAAAGATTTTCACCCATGAAAGTGATTAGTAAGTCAGAATGCTTAATCAGAAGTATTTAACAACAACAGTCATGTTTGCCGGCCAACCAGGATTGTGGTTAGTGACACTGACTACCGTACTGAAGGTCCTGGGTTCGAATCCCAGAGAAGGCATGGATGTTTATAAATGTATAGTGTCTATGCGGCATGGAGGCCCTCTAAATACACGGCAAGCCGAAAGTCCTCTTGAGAGGTTGTGGTAGAGGAAGAGGGGTGGGAGATTCTTGGACCCATCCTCACAGGGCATCTCCATCAAAACTGGGGGCAAACTGAGCAAAGTCGTACTGTTACTTGTATGGTGTTCTAGGCTATTGCCAATGGCAAACGCAATCTTGCACACCTTGCCGCAATGAATTTCAAGAGCTTATGCAGTTGTTACTGTCAGAGAAGTGAGTATTCACAGTTACTGTTACTGTCAGAGAAGTGAGTATTGTTGAACAGAACTGAAGTTTGGAGTACGTAAATTTGCACATGTGTATGAACGTGTTTATAGGTCTTCAGCTTGATTGCTTTGCTGTGATTGGTCGGTTCTGATGTCAACCTGGCATAAAGTTAAGAAGTTGGAATATTTAGGTTAAATCCTTGCATCAGTTTCCATAACACAGTAAGACCTAGTTTCTCAGCAGCAAACAACTTTTTTATGCTAGTTATGATCCTCAAGCCATCATGAGAGAGTTCCTTTAGGTGATCTTATCCACAGAAGTGCAGAATTCTCTCTCTACACAGAGGAGAATGATCACTGCAGTGTTTTAACAGATAACTAATACAATATAATAGGTAAATAAATAAAAAATAAAAACAGAAAATATTTAAAAAAAACCTCTCTTGATTTATTACTTCTACGTTAAGCTCTTCAGTAGATTAGTGAATTTATTATTTATTCGTAACAACTGTAACACACAGTTTGTTCCATTAACCTTCCTAATTAGAAAATCTTGGTATCTCTGGACGATTGTGTGGCTATGAGACCACTGATGGTCATTTGATTCACCTCTGCATTCAAATACAATGCAATATTCTTTGGCTTGGGCATTAATTTGATTCATATATATTTTAAGAAATTTCTTGATTTAATATTGCATCCAAAATTTTTAAATTTCAACCAAAGTTCCTCTTCTTTGGGTACACATACATTTTGACGTAATGTGTGAAAACTTCAAAACCAATAAACAGACCTAATAGCAAAATTTCTAAGCAAGCAAACATAACTACTGATTAATTCTGAGTAATTTCTTACCTTGAACTGCTTTCAATACACCTATATGAGTGTTCTCAACCTTTGCTGTCCCATGCACCCCTTCTTCACTGTTAGATGATTATCCCCTCCTTTCCAAAACTCGAAAAATACATATACAGTCAAAAGTCGTTAATCCGGACTCGTCGGGACTTCGGCGATTCCGGATTATCGATTTTTCCGGATTATAGATCATCAGTTTAAATCTCGTAAGATGGCATGCAGAAATTCTAAAATTAAAAATATGAAACCGTAATTTATGAAATAAAGAACAATTATGATCTAAAAAGTATCAAATTTTACAAAAAAAAGCTTAATATTTATTTGTTTACTTTATTAACATTTCTTTCAATGTAAGTTGCTTAAGTTGCTTCGTTTTATGTGATAATACTTTCTCTTTAATTCTATAAACAGACATAATTTCTTGTTCAGTTACAAAGTACCGCTGTTCAAGTCCCGTTAATTGCTGTGCCGAGAATACCGACTAACTTGTCAATCGAAATTTTTTCGTTTTCACTAACCTCTCTGTCACATTCTTCATGTCTTTATCCATTTTTTGTTTGTTGGACATCGAAACATACTTTCGTTTTGTAGATCCTTTGGAAGTTCCAGCATCGGAAATTCTATTTGACATAATCGAAAGTTCAAGTTTACTTTTATAAAATTGCTCTTACAGTCTGCAAAAAATAATAAGCGGGATCCAATTCGAAGATTGAGGATCAACGCAATCATTAACATTAACTGAAATAGATTATTAGAGCTTACACCGTCCGTTTATACATTAAACGCGCAGGCGAAAACGTATTCTGCACTTGCGCACATGCATATGCGCAGTAGTCAAGGTCTTATGCGCACGCGTAAAACGCCTGTGCGCATGTGCCAACGCGGCGCATGCGCAGAAAGTTTTTAGCTTTGAAGTCCGGATTATAGATCATTCCGGATTATGGGTGTCCGAATTAACGACTTTTGACTGTACATTAAATTTAGATTTTTGAATTTATGTATTAGATATTTTGTATGTCACTATGACTGCACTGTTTATAAAACTGATGATATATGAACAGTTAAATGCAGCATAAAGTTCAATTTTTTATCCTAGGATGTATTTTTTGCTAAATGAACATGACAACATCTGGAAATGTTTTTCAGTTATTAACTGAAGCTAAATTAGCACTATAATAGTCACTGATGGCTTTTGTGTAAAGCATAGCCAAAGCTAGTCAAAACAGGCTGCAGAATATTTGCTGCCACATATCAGCTGTCAAAAAATGATCTTCAGTGGTTCAGTGAAAACATACAAATTACAGCAGCAGCCATATTCCAAAGATTTTCACCCATGAAAGTGATTAGTAAGTCAGACTGCTTAAACAGAAGTATTTAACATCAACACTTATGTTTGCCGTCCAAACGGGATTGTGGTTAGCGATGCTGACTGACATACTGTGTTTTATAAACTAAAACATGAAAAAGTATAGAAAACGTTCATAAATTAAAACTAAATATTTAACAAGTAAATGAAAGCCTGTCTACATTCCCCCTGAAACTATGGAATCTCCCCAGGGGGGAAATCCCTCCTGTTGAGAACCTGTGCTATATCCATAAATAACAGATTCGAACGCTTGACAAACATGACATGGAAAATGCAATATTAAATGGGATATTCACGTGACATAGATAAAAATGTAATTTGTATTAAATCCATGAGAATAAATGGATAGGAAACTCAATCATGAAGTATTTTTTTAATTCATCATTACTATATTCAAATAATAACTATACTTATTATCATTTTTGAATTAAGTGCAATGAGAATTGTATAATTTCATATCGCCCTTTAATGTGTTCACAGCATTGAATGATCTATAATCCGGACCTCAAAGCAACAAACTTTCTGCACATGCGTCGCGTTGACGCAAGACCTTTACGGCTGCGAATATGCTTGTGCGCATGCGTAAAATACGTTTACGAGTGCGCGTTTAATGTATAACGGACGGTATAAGCTACGCTAAAATTATCTAATTATCTATTTCAGTTAATGTTACAGATTGCATTATTCCTTAATCTTTGAATTGGATCCGGCTTATTATTTTTTGCAGACTGTTAGAGCAATTTTATAAAAGTAAGCTGAACTTTCGATTATGTCAAATAGAATTTCTGATATATATTAATTAATATGTAAAGTATCTACAAAGCGAAAGTACATTTCGAAGTTCATTAAACAAAAAGAGGAATTGCTGCAAAAAATGGATAAAGGCATATCCTTTGTTTATCTAAACTTTAACGTTTGTTTATCTAAACTTTGTTTATCTTTAACGCCCAGGCGCGCAATGAATTGGAAGTTGATCTATCAGCACTATCCTTATCTTCAGGGCAGATGTTTTTATTTTATTTGGCTTATAATTCCTTAGTAAATGTAGTATTTCATCTCGATGTACTCCGTCTTTGATATGATTTAAATCAAATTCCTCGTCGTTATAATTCGCTTTCGATAGGAAGAAAGTGACAGAGGTTATTGAAAATGAAAAAATTTCAATTGACAAATTAGTCGGTAGACACAGCAATTATAGGACTTGAACAGCAGAACTTTGTAACTGAACAAGAAATTATGTCTGTTTATAGAATTAAAGAGAATGTATTATCACATAAAAAACGAAGCAACTTAAACAACTTACATTGAAAGAAATGTTTAATAAAGTAAACAAATAAATATTAAGCTTTTTTTTTTGTAAATTTTGATACCCTTTAGATCATAATTGTTCTTTATTTCATAAATTACGATTTCATATTTTTAATTTTATAATTTCTGCATGCCATCTTACCAGATTTAAACTGATGATCTATAATCCGGAAAAATCGATAATCCGGAATCGCCGAAGCCCCGACGAGGCCGGATTAACGACTTTTAACTGTGTTATTTATTTAATTACGGTAAAACACTCGAGGGCTATCCGTCTAAGGGGGGTGATGCCTTTGTGGGGGACTTTCTTGAAAGAAATTTGCTCGTATACATGTTACATATGAGGAAAACCATGAAAACGCCCATATATAATATCTTAAAACAAATATAGAATTTAGAGCAAGATATTTGTAAACATGTGACATAAATAAAGAAATCAGCATTTTCTTCATAAAATCTTATTTATTTGACTGAGAATTAAGACAAAAGTAGATTTTTATAGGAACTGCAAACAAAAAATGCAGAAGTTCTACATATCTTTGATTAAAAATTCTAATAGATTTCAAAAATAAAATTATAATTTTAAATGTCTCAGTAAAAGATGTAAAATATTTTTTTAACAAAAGCATCTATGAAAGAAGCTTTAGCATGACAGTAAGCAAAGGTTTGAAATAAAACAATATATTTAAAAAAATTTATACACATATATCTCTTTTTAGGATGCTAAGGGAATATGCAATTTCATTGCACATAAATTAAATTTTCAACTATATCATATTTAATCAGATATCCAAGTGTTTGTAGAACATAAGAAAAATTATTAGCTAAATAAAGTTTAAGAATGGCAACCAGTATTGAATTTAATTATTAATTTAATTAAAAATATTAATATTTAAGCAGATGAGTATTTTGCAACCTATACTTTGTGAAGGTAATAACACATCAAGCTCATTAATTTACTTCACTTTCTTACTGGAAATCATTATATATTTTTAAAAACATTGCATATCTAATTACCTTTTCAACAGTAATACCGATGCCTGTTGTCCTAGTTTTAAGAAATGAAATGAATGAGTTAGGTCAATAGAATGTGACAATTATCACGTGACACTTTTCACAAATCTAAAAACATGCAAATCTTTTGGACCAATAAACAAGAAAAATATTCCAAAAGTTGACTTACACATCTCTCAAAACTGTAATAATAAATTATTGAGATATAATTAAAATTTTTTTTAGAATTATATACTTATATATTGCAGTCTTGCAGATTTCTTTGTTCCTGATGAGGGAGTACCTGTACTTGTTTGCCCTCAAAATCGGTTGAGATCTTGATTAAATCAACACAAAGCACAAGGCTGTTTGCTTTGCTAATATATAGTAATATTTTGAAGACAACTACATATTTTTCAATGCAGCTTTTTTAACAGGTGTACCTTTTAGAAAAACCTAATACACATGCATGGATTCCAAATTTAATTTAAAAAAATGGTGAAATTCGAAAATTTTGTCTAGGAATATTCAACTTTTAAATGACCCTCTAAAACTGATGTCCTTGCTAAAATTTTCAATGGCACAAAGACAGTTAAATTCCATAATTTCTGATGACTTTTACAAGACATGTTTGCATAAGACAGATCAGATATTCTAAATAATCTGTTTCTCAATGAGAGGGGAATCTCATAGTTTCAGAGGGTGTTATGCTCAGCCTTTTTAGCTGTTAAGTATTTAGATTTAATCTATGAATATAAAAAACTACTTTTAGTCAAGGCATTAATCAACATTTTCTATACTTTTTATTGTTTAATTTATAAAACACATTAAAAAAATCTAAATAAATGTAATATTATATATTAACAATATGAGCTTTCGGATAGAGGAGGAGAGACAATGGTGAAAGGGGGTTATAGGGAAAAGAAGTTGAGAACCACTGTTCCAAATTTTTAGCAAGATAAAAAAGAATGATAATTCATATAAAAATTTAGATCTTGCATAGTGTCAAAGAGAAAATTATATATTTTTAATACGATCTCTCTCTTGTAGAAACACATAAAGTAAGTCGAAAACTACTCCGTACCTTCACTGAAAGTTTATCAATTTTTGCTACTGGCAGCTAGTTAAACAGATCTTGTCATATTTATTGCATGTTTTATACAGTAAAAACTATTTAGATTAGTTTCATATGGCATGCTATTAATTAAACACTGTTTTCTACAAAGCTGCTAAATGAATCTATAATACAAATGATGAAGGGAACTGTAGGGAACACATATTTTACAAATGCAAAACTTAAGATTTTTACTTTCAAGCAGAGTTGGAATGAAATATTTAAACTGACTGGCAATAACCAAAGACATGGTTATTTCCAGTCTTCAAAGACAGCTTTATTATACTTTCTTGTCTGATTAAGAGATGAAAGAATGACACAATTCCATACAAAATTCTAACAATAGTAGAATGGACAATCTGACAAGATGTTCTTAAATATAACTTGCATGCCAATTTTAAACTTCTGTCAAACATTTCCATAAAATGTATAAAGCTTGTTTTGAAAATATAATTTGATGAATTATAGGAATTTACTAAAGTGAATAAGCATTGAAAAACCAAAATCCATTGGATATACATGCTGTTTATGTAAAATACTGAATAAGGAAGAATTTTAGAATCTACATTAACAAAAAAAAAAAAAAAAAAAAAAAAAAAAAAGTTAAGATTAGGAGGCAGTTTATAAGTAACACATAGCCATTGCTATACATTTCTATACAACTTTTGCTACAATAAGCAAAAGTTATTATTGGACTAACACTACTTTATTATTATAGTAATTAAAAATCACATTTATCATAATAACTCAAAATTTTCTAAATTTACCAAGAAACCAAAACATTAAAATTCTGCAGATTTTTTACTTTGCTTATCAAGTAAATCATCATCATCATTAAATTCTTTGTCAGTTGTGTTTAATTTAGGCAGGCTTCTAACAGCTGCTGTCTTTTTAATTGGCCCTTTCTTTGGATCAATCACTCGCTGGTCAGGCAAAATATTTCTGAAATATAAAATAAAAAAATTAAAAAAAAAGTTTTCCCCCCCAGAAACTCAAAGTATTAAATTACAGTAAGTCTAAAATATTATATTCATACATTTGTACGCCATATAGAAATGACTGCAATCAAAGGTGTATCCCTGGATCTGATCATTAGCATATGAATGCAGCTAACGATCAGATTTTGATTTCTCACAGTCTTCTATTAACATTTTTGTAACATTTATAAGCTACTAGAACATTTAATCAGGAAAGCTATATTATCTGTAGTTCATTATTAAACATTTATCACTTACAGTAGTGATTATATATGGGATTTAGATTTTTTTTTTATTTGACACAATAACTTGATATTTTTTTAAATTTATATAAGAAATAAAATTATTTTCATTTATTCAATATTCTTTTGATTTATTCCATATTAAACATCATCATTCCAAACTATTTTTTACTCCATATAATAGGTTTTACAGTTCATCTATCAAATCTTTCTGTAATAGTAGGATTTTTCATAATATCATCCAATTCCTTCAGTATATTCTTATGACATATTTCATTTCTACTTTTAGTATCTTTATTTTTCATCAACTTTATTATTCGGTTTACTCTATTCTTTATAACTAATCTACATTTAATCTTATTTTACCTCACACTAACTGAATTCCAGGACCTGTAAAATGTCCAGGTAAATGCAATTCAGCAGGTAATTTATTAATTACATTATGATTCAATCCTGCATCAGATGTGTCAGCTTTGCTGTCTGACTTATTACCCTTATATAGTTTTACTACTTTAATCAGTTCTTTTATATCTAACCACTTGCGCTACGACTAAACTTCACAGTTGCGGTGCCGTGCGCTACAATATAACAAGCAGTAAAGTGTCTCATTTATGCCGCTCCGCATCTGCGAGTGCAATCCAGAGCTATAACTCGAAAAATAAACAATCTCATTGTTAGGCAACGTGTGCACCACGTTATTTTCATGTTTGCGATAAATGCCTATCGACGTGGTGTTCACGTCGCTCGCGGTTTGAGACAAAAGCATCTCGACGTGCGCAGCACGTCTTTTTAGCGCAAGTGGTTAATATAACAGATTCTTTTCAGTCACATTTTGCGCATTCTGTCACACGTCCTCCAGCAATTGTACATGACTCGATTTTAAACTTTTTACTCTTACAAACCATTCATTCAGAATGTAAATCCTTTCAGTTTCAGAATGAAATGGTAGTTTAGTAACCATTCAATCCTTTTTTCTTTAAATATTTCTCTAATGGAAAATACTTTATAAATTTTCTTTTTCTTTGACCAAAACTTTTTGTTCTGTTATTTCATTAGCTTTTAGAGAATTTAATAAGGATTTATAAAATTTATATGCATATTTATAAAATTTATGTGTATGTCCCATTCCCATTCTAAAATCTTTAGAATTTTATCAAATAATTCAATCAAGCCAGCAATAATGCTCAATGATGCAAACAGAAGTATAACAAAAGCAGACAGATTACTCATACTAAATAGAAACTTACTTACAGAAAGAGATAAACCTATGTCCCTATAAAATTTGTAACTTTGTAGGGTTCAATTTTCTAACAGTTATTTTTATTTCGGGACAAGCCTTTCTTATCCATTCTAAATTCCCACCTACATTTCTCTGCCAGAATGAGCTTTCAGGATTACGATTTATGAAAATGAGGTACAAACTAGTTCTTAAGCTGAAGTCTGGGCCACTTCAGTTACACAAGGTTCTGCCTTTCGGCCATGTTGTTGCTGTTACATTAAGCTTACCATTCTATGGCCATACTTCTATGTGCCTACTAGTATATGCTAGTGATCTTTTAAATAAGAGTCGACTCCGTCAGTTGATTCTGTGCAGATTCGGCTGGTTAATTTTATTTACTATTAGATTTGTTTTATAGTTTCTATTTTGAGTTAAAGTGGAGGCTTATTCTACACCAGAGAAAGGACCATCTGTTCATTCTTTTTGAGTTGGAATAAAGGATCTTTGGATGTGTTACTTACAAGAATTCGGTGAATAGTCACTACACAGTTATACAGTGTTCTAGCTTACAAAGAAATCTAATTAGCTAGGATATTATATTGGTGACCGGATACCTTCTGAACCATGCCTCTGGAGTCTGGAAAGCTTACATTAGCTGCTCCTAGACTGCAAGCTCCACCGGCACTAGTCAACCCCATGGAAGGGTTTAGATTCATAACTGAGGCCATGCAGGCCATGATGAAACTTGATTACTTGAAACTTGAAGATTGAAAGATTATTTTAAGCATACAACATTTGTATTTTGATCTCTTATTAGTGATTCATTTTAACATGACTGAAATGCTGATACCTGTTTTAAAAGCCTACTTCAATTATGATTTTGATGCTTTTCCTGGACATGGTTTTTGGATAAAAGGGAAGGGATTAACTTTTCCTATAAAATCCATAGCATTTTATGCTTAAAAGATTTTCATTATTCAAAGTTTGAAATAACATATTCCCACAAATTCCCTTTCTTATGCACAGATAATATTAGAAACACTAGTGACTTAGTATTTAAAAGCAACATACAAATATTTTAAATGACGAGGGCACTTAGCAATAGATCCATTTTCACTTCCTTCAAACATTCGAAGACGACTCTTCATAGCTTCCAGATTTAACATGGCTTCAGTTATCTCAGTCATGTAAGCTTTGCGAGTATCATTGTATTTATGAAATGTCTGTAAAATACAGAAATACATAAATCCATGCATTTATCTGTACAGATAATTAAATAAGTAAAAATATTAAAACATTCAAGCTATTAATATAATAAGTGCATAATGATGCTTTAAATAATATATTATTTACCTTTGATTCTTGATCCAATTTCCACTCCTTGTCTCGTAATTCATTATACAAAGAATTTCTGTCTTTTTCTAGCTGTTTCAAATATCGTAGTAGTTGACTCTATAAAGAAATAAACAAAAATGTCTGGGAAAAACCATGTGTTACAAAGAAAGGAAGAAAAATTTTAGACAGAATTACTTAAAGCATATTAAGTACAAAACACTGCAGAAAGTGCAATCTACATTGTAGCTTGAATTCACTAGAAAAACATTTCTAGTTACTTGATTAAAAAATATACTAAAAAAAAACTTTCAAAGTTATATAATATTTATTCAAATGAAATAAAAAAAATGAAGTTAAAAACAGATCTTGTTTTCACGTTAGTGTTCCTACTTTTCTTTTACTAAGTACCAACATAATGTAATAAGCTAGGGAAAAAGTATCCCCCCCTAAAAAAAACTTTATCCAATTGTCTTAAGCATCGCCACCTTTTTTTTTAAATTTAATTTGTGCAGGAGGGAGAATGCATACCCTTTTAGGCTGATTGACTGAACAACAAAATCATGCAAAAACCCAACAGTGGCAATGGGTGCTTCTTTATGCTTTTGCATGAGACAAATCAATTATCAATGTGCTTTCAGTGCCATTCTACAATTTCAAACATGCTGCCATCATTTTTTTCATATTCTTCATCTTAATGCTTTAACAGAATGCTTAGAACAGTTTCATCATCATCTTAATTACCTTAACATTCATGTCACATTTTGCATATCTCTTTAAAATTTTAAAATAGCCTCAGATTTTCAATTGCTTCTGGCATTTTCAGAGAAGAATTTTTTTCCAAAAATCAAATGGAGGAAACTATTACAAAAAGCTTTTAACTTATTAAATGTTAACCATATGCAACAAATTGTAACAACATTTTAAAATCATTTCAATGAACTGCAGAAAATGAGCACAGTAAAATGCTATATCTTGTTAAATCATATAAATCTTACAAATGTATTTGAAACACACTTCTATTTTCTGTGATACATTCACTTGAAATTTTCCCCCGGAAAGAACCAATTCAGTCAGATGCATCAAAGACGATACAGGACTGGCAGACACTCATGACAGAGTGAACCATAGTTGGAAGACCCCCAAAAAATTCCAATTTGCCATGTAAGGAAGAAATGCTAATAAATCCTTCGTTTCCTTATGGTCTATATTATTTATAAAATGGAATAACCATTCTTGAATATTCATCAAAGTGCACAATAATAATACTAAGAATAAACAATACTACGAATTTCAATTTTGTTCTTTTCTAAAACTTCAGTTACAAATCTGCTGTTGTTAAAACATATTATTTATCAAATAACAGAAGTGTATGAGGTATTTTAAAAACAAGCATGAAGGTTAAATGTTACATACCTCTGTTAGACTATCAAGATCAAGTTCTGCAAGCAGTGCTGATACACCTAAAAAAAATAGCATAATATATTATTAAAAATTACAAACAGAATTAATTTTTTACTAAACTTCAGTGTTGAAAGACAGAAAATCCATGGATCACAAGACTTTGCAGATGTCTGTGATCCAATAAAATGTCTTAAGGAAAGTCTACAACTGAGGAGAATCTAATTAATGACATAAAAAGTCAGAATGAACGGTCATACTTACACATACAAAAGAAAGTGCTCCAATGTCTTCTGTTCTAGTTGGGTGATTGAGAAATTTTAAGACACCTTTTTCATATCTCACTATGATAACTTAAAATGCATATTAGATTTATGTACCGCAATGTATAAACATATTTTTCAGTATTAAACTGAAAGGTCTTCTGACCTTGAACTCTCCATTTTTCTCAAAAAGTTCATATAAATCTACTCATCTAGAAACACATGACAATAAAAGAATTAGCTAACACTTTATAGATAAGGAATTAATATATCGTAAAAAATAACAAGATTTGGCAATACAGTGGTAATATCCAAAATTTTCAAAACTAACTTGGAATTTTTGAAAATTTGGAAAGTTGCCAACATGACCAAGTCTTGCAACAAACCTATAAAAAAAACAATGAATGAAGAGATAAAAAGTATAAAATTCAATCTTAGAAAAATTAAGTCAAAATACAAGGAATTCTGGAAATAACTCTTCTGTTTATTTTAGAAAAATACAGACAATAAATACTTCTGCAGAATGCAGATTGAATGCGTAAAACAGATGAGATGCAGTAAATAATGATCAAAGCAGTAGTCTATTTTACACCACCTGCAATTAGCAAAATGAACTGAATAAAAGTTTCAGCTCTGCAAGCATACCGATGGCAAGCCGATAAAACTGCCGATCACAGGATGTTTGAGGGGTGTTGAAATTATAGAGGATGGAATTTCTGGAAGAAAACACTTTCATTGATCCCCCCCCCCATGGTAACATTAAAACAGTTTATTTGAAATTTTTTCAAGGTCAATTTTTCTGACATCTTTTGAAGCTCTTTCTACCAATAAAAAATGCTGCAAAATTTTCACTTTCCTAACTTTATTTTGGACATATAACAAGCTACATATTTTTGAGTCTATTATACCAGAATATTATCTGCTTTTTTTGTTTTATAATCACCCAACGTATGATTAAGGCTTTGGTTTCTGCCCCCTTGATTCATCATTTGACGAAATATCTGCGATTCACTTTCAGATGCATCATTTAATATGAGAATCCATGAGGAATGGATTTTTTTTCTATTACTTTTATTTCATAACTTCCTTAAACTTTTAAACTTTCAAAAAACAGTTTTTTCAGTTAAATATCTTATGTAAAATCTGTTAATTTCAAATGGCTGGTTATATAATTTCAAACAATATCCAAATCACATTGTATTATGCATACTTTCAAATGAAGACACAGTTTAAGCTTAAAATTCTAACTCAATGCAAGCAATCAACTTGACGACAGTTTTCAAAAAAATTACTAGCATTATTTGGGGGGGGGAGACATATTTAGAAAATAATGACAGCAGTGAGCATTTAATGAAAAATATATACATGATAAAGAATGCAATTATTTAAACTTATTTTAATTAAGAATTTTATGATTTGATTATAAATACTTTCATTTAAAGGACAGACAGCAATGTTCGGAAGGCAAACATGTTCCACACATGCTCTATTGATTCAGGTCTGGCAGAGTCGTAGCTAGGGTTTTCAGCACCCAGGGACAACTGAAGATTTCGCGCCCCCTACTGCTTGCCAAGGATGGAAAACATTTAATTCTAAAATGTCGTAACATCAGTTTGGCGCCCCTTGGATTCTGTGCCCGGGGACAGATGCCCCCTCTTGCCCCCCTCTAGCTACACCCCTGAGGTCTGGTGATCTAGCAGGAACAGCAGATGTGGAATGATTTCATGCTCCAGATAACTACGCACCACTCAAGCTCTATGTGACCAGGTGTTATCATTCATAAATATCATGTTGGTACCCATAGAAAGGTAGAATTTTGTCACAATATCCGATGGCTGTGATGGAACCACCAGGAACCACGTAGAGGTCAGTGTTACCATTCGTTGCTATCCAAACCCATACTTCTGGCTCTTGTCACATCATTCCACTTCAGGAATCATTCTAGATGTTAAATTGAGAGTCATTCATAAAGAGTATGTGACCCCAGTGCTCTGGTGTCCAAGTGCAATGTTCATGGGCCCAATTCTACTGTACTCTGACATGCAGTAGGAACAGGCATTGGGGTGTGACTATGGGACTGCACTTTCTGCTAATTTTGGTTGCCTATTTGCATTCAGTGATGCTACCTCTACCTTATATTTAAATTGCATGTTTTAATTCCTCTTTTTACATTTGCACCTTCCCTTTTAACATTTGTTGCTTATTTTTTTAGTATGAATGCATTAAAATTACATTATTAATTACGTATAACTTATCTTTTATCTGTATTTAGTTAAAACTGAGCTTTTATTATCATACTGGTTTGTTACAAGCTTTCCTTCTGTGAAAATATAAATTAGCACATGTAATCGTCTCAGTCATTTTCAATTTTTCAAATACTTATGACTTTCTTTAAATAGTTTTATGATGTGCAAAATAATAATTGGTAATATGAGATGCACAAATATTAGTTATGATGTTCAACACTTGCTACAGATTATTTGCATTTTATTGTAGAACGCATTAACACCAAAGTAAAATTTCAAGTATACCATTAGAAATTACTAAGATAATTGCATGATTCATTTCCATACATAAATAAGAAATGCAAATGGCTTTATAACTTCATGCAAATGGTTTTAGAAATTGATCTACTGGCGGTTATACTCCCTATCATATTTAAACAAATCATATTCATCAAAAAGACATCTATCAAGAAAATTTTAGTTTCTCAAATTAATGAATAAGATAATAACCAGAACAGTTTGCTTATGTTCTGGAAAGGGATTGAAAAACTAAAATTTAATACTTTATAGTGGAAATGATTCAAGTAATCATACAAGCTTTCTAGCTCCATGAGATCAATTTCCTAGTGTAGAAAATTATTTAAAAATATGTCATGAATGAATTACACATCTACAGAATTCATATCGGTGTTTAATTCTGAAAGGAAGCCAAATCAATGATAGTCATTCCTCAGCTGCTTTTTAAAATATTCTAAGAAGTTAAGGTAAAACATTACAATCAGAAACACTATTTGGATAAAAGTTAGGATGATTTATTTCGAATCAAAAGAATATATGCAAAGGAGTTGTTAATTTGTACATCATTAATGACAGCCAACACAGCTCCACCAGAACTATCATTACTGAATAATGTCAGGTTTATTATTTCATAAACACTATAGCTTAGTGGCCTCAAAATCTAATTGCATGCAGGCTGCATGCTCAATCTTACACCAACTGAGCATGCAGAATTTTTTAATGAAAATTTTACCAAAACAAGGAGCATTTTTAATAAATTTAAAATTCGCTAACTAATCATTTTTCAAAACATAATATAAATAATAATAATATCACCCCAGAAAGAACTCAAATTTATAATTATTTTCTGTCTGAGGTCTAAACTTTGGTGCCTGCAAGAGTGAAATTCTCAAAAGTTGATATTTCTTTCAAACAATTCTAACAAATTCGATCAATCATTAAATAATTTAATTTAAACTAAAAGAAATTAAGAAAGCTTTTAAGTTTTCAGACAAATTTTTCCAAGTGGAACAAAACTTGAGAATAAATACAGACAACCGAGTTTCTTTCTCTTATTTATTAAATTTTTCTAAGATGCATAAATATGTTTCAATGTAAATAAGTGCCATTATTTCTTATTAAAAACGGACAGTTAGCAGCTTTTTGATTTTGATAAAGTTTGCAGCTTTGGAGAAAAATGACTACAAATTATTTTTATGATGGATTGTAGATGCTCATCAGTCAATGAATGCACTTCTCTTCTTATTAGTTTTCAACTTCGATAAAAGCTGTTCACATTTAAATGTATACCCAAATAATACAATTAATCTTAGTGCAAAAATTTATAACAGAGCTCATTTATTTTTTGACGAGTACAAATAAAAATAAACAAAATCTGTATATTCAAGATAATGAGGGAGAAAAAGAATTCTAGGATCCCAAAAGAATAATGAAGTTGATTATAAATATTCTATGACACTAAGTATCCTGGACTTAAAACCAATACCCGCAGAAAAGATGCACCTCTCCTTCTCTAAGTTATATTTTAAGTTATATTTTATTTCTCCTTTTCTAAGTTATATTTTATGGCTCCACAGAATTTATGCATTTTGCTGGTAGTTCTTATTTCATATTTCACAACCAATAACCATTATTATTTTTCATCCTCAATGATAAGGAAAATACAATTCTTTTAAGGACTTACGGCACAGCATCGGCCATTAACATTATGGCCATTTAACCATCAATCAGCTGAACAAACAACATGGACAATCCTAAAAAACAATATCAATGATCATCCTGCAGTTCTAAAAAAGATTAATTATAATTTTAGTTATTATGTACAAATTATTCACCTGTCAATTTTAGAAAATTTAAATTACTCTTGAATGAGAAAGATTTTCTGTAAGGATAAAAACATCATTCATTTCATTCCAGAAAAGAAAATAAGAAGTTAATCAGTTCTCGGATTTATGAAGCAAATTTAGCAAAAGTCCACAATCAATAATTTAAAGTAATAAAAAATAATTGGGTTTTTTAATCACATGGACCACAAAAAGCTGAACTGTTTAATTACATGAGCATCTTCCACTATATTGATCAAATTCTTATTTTAACATAAAAGAAAAAAAATTAAATCAAATGCTTTTTTTTTAATGTATTTAGTTAAATTTTTAGTATATTCAGTGGCTAAGACATACCAACAGCCATATAACACCGGATGAAATAATTTACAACTATAAAATTTACAGTTTTTGCACAAACCTTCTTGACTCTGATTTCTGGCAGCCTCAACTCTTTCCATCAACCAGTCACGTTGTCTCTCCAATTGCTCATTTACTTCTACTTGTGTGTAATATCTAACTTTCCATTCATCCTCTAGAGATAAATCTCAAGTTTAATATTAAAATATACAATAACAGCATATCAACTCAATTAATTACTAAAAACAGCAGGATATTTAGTTTTTTAAAAGAGCAAAATAAAATAATAATATACATAAAACAAGTAGGAAAATGATAATAAACTTGTAAAATACTTCAGTAAATTACTGACTAATGGTGCTTACTGAACATTAGTGTCCAGGCATAAGTTTCCATGTTTAAGAAATGCATGGAAAAAATTAAATTAGCCAAATCTGTCCATTCTATAAACCACAGAGATATTTATAGAGCTGTTGACTATCATTATTTGCAATTTATTTTACTATTCTATCCTATCATTTGTCATCATGAAAAACTACTTGTTAAAGCATTGATTCTCCAAGGTAAGAAGGGAAAAAAACTGCACTAAAAATATTAACTGCACTAGAAATATTATTCTATAATTGAAGCATTTGCAATACTAATTTTAGGCATAGAAACGTAAAAATAGATTTAAACACAGCAAATCTTAAAAAAAAAAAAAAAAAAAAAAAAAAAGTCACAGTAAATCTATTCTTAAAAACCATTTCTATTACATAGCATAATATATTAAAAAAATTTTCAGCTATTTTAGAATTTTTAGTAAATTTAGTTTTACTAAAATCACACTCAATAATTATACACACAATAAAGTGCAAAAAATGAATTAGGCCACAGTAAATCTATTCTTAAAAACCATTTCTATTACATAGCATAATATATTAAAAAAATTTTCAGCTATTTTAGAATTTTTAGTAAATTTAGTCTTACTAAAATCACACTCAATAATTATACACACAATAAAGTGCAAAAAATGAATTAGGCAAGTTCTTAACAAGCTATTTTGCAGTGAAGGTGTGCCAATTACATGAATGGTGCTTTGACAATATTTGTAACCAAATACCATCAGCTATATCAGTATGGTCCACTTGTTGCTCCAAAGCCTCAACTGTTCGCTGCAACTCTTCAATTGACAAATCCAACATTTCACTAAGAAAAATCTTAATTATAACAATGAAGTGATGAGAAAATTTAACAATTATAAAAATATTAAAATAAAAAAAGCATTTTTAAGCAAAGTTTGATAATTAGGAAGACCTTAGAACCTTCTAAAGGAAGTTCTTAAAAAATAATTTTATTCCACTTTGCTGATTTTCAAAATTTAAAGTTTTGAGACATTCCCAGCTCAGCATTCAAATTCCTATTTCTTAAATATTTCTTTACTACAGATAAGTGAACGAACTCAACATAAGCAATTAGCATAAATGAACATACAATTCATTGCTGATTGCAAAATCTTTACAACCTAGTTAACTGCAAAAAAGCATTGTTATTATTGCTGTGAAAATTTAAACATTAAACATTAAAGTTGGGGGTTTAACTGAAAAAAAAAAAAAAAAAAAAATCTGAGACTTGGAGCTTGTTTTCTTGTATAATTGATAGGAATGAAGTGGAAGCTATAGTATTTATGAGAGTATTATGAAGGAAAACTTTGGATCTTTTAAAAAACTGAAATTAAAGAGCAAAGTAGTGTAGGGAATAAATTTGGTCTAAATTGAAAATTATGTCTTTTGTCCAAATTATTTACACATTTATTTAATATTTAAGTGTGCTAGTTTTAAAACTGAATTTTTTCATTTCTGTATCATTGTACAATACAATGTTATTTTCCTCATAATAGTCTTATTTCTTTTATTCTGCATGTACAAACAGCAAAATCAAATATATTTGTGTTAAAGACATAAAAAATGTGACACTTTTCCCTACAAAGTAATAAATAAATAAATAATTACAAAATTATGAAAAAGGTTTGATAAAAATAAGATGCAATTCAGCATGTTTTTATAAAATTTATCTTCTTGCAGAGTTACGAAACTTGACAAAATACAATTAAAATTTCATATTTTAAAACAATGAACAACTGGCAAAATCTTAACATAAGACAAAACGGCTAATATTTGGAATATGGTGACAGGTAGTTTGGCGACGTTTTGGTAAGACGATAAAGGTTACTAGCTAGGACTTTAGCAGTGTACATGGATAAAGTCAAGAGTGTGCACAATGCCATTTTTGTGCAATTCTGGGATGTTTTTTTAAGTGAAAATAGGTCAACGTGTACATGGATTCCGTGTATGTGCAATTCTTTATAACGCAGCGAGCAGTGGGCGATTCTGCACTTTCTCCCAATTTTGCACCTAATCTTCATCATGAATAAGCACTCTGGTACTATTCGGTTTCGAGGGCCGTAAATTAATTGCAGTGAAAATGTATGAGCGAAAGCGCCAAATTTAGCAAACACGCCCATTTAACAGCGTGCCAAATATCGCGTACGCGCTGATTTCAGATTGCGTAAGTTTATATAGTTCTATATTTCTTAAGACGCCATGGAAATACTAGTTTAAATTTTAATTTCTTTTTTGATATCTATGGATTTAACAATTTGGGAATTTCCTATGATGAAAAATCTGCGATAGAATTTTGGGTAAAATGCAGAATCACCCACTGCTTGACGCGTTTTTTAAGAATTGCACATACTCGGTATCCATGTACACATCGACTTATTTTCACTTAAAAAAAAAATCCCAGAATTGTGCAAAAATAGCACTGCGCACACCCTTGACTTTATCTGTGTACACATCGACCTATTGTCACTTAAAAGTAAAAAAGAAATTGACAAAAATTCCAATTGTTTTCACCTTGTAAAAAGCGGCAAAGAAATAAGCGGGAGATTCTGCACTTTACCGAAAATGTTTTCAAAGAAAAGGCATCATTCATTATAGAAAACAACCAACGAAATGACATTATGCTTTAGCGATAACTTGGTAGCGAAATATTATATGAAATCAACCTTTCATCTAAATTAAAACATCGATATTTAGATAGTTATTTACTATCATACTTCCTTTTTTGCATTAGGGTTGCCGCAATTACTTTTGGCATCACTGGCATCAACAATAGTTTGGCGATTTTTTACGGCCCTCGAAACTGAATAGTACCAGCACTTTTGTTCCATAAAAGTTCTAGCATAAGCGTTATTCAGCTAGCAGATTGTTGGGAAAAAATGCTGAGTAAAAAAAAAAAAAAAAAAAAAAAAAAAAAAGACTTTACTTCGTTAAAACAAAATGGCTTCCAAAAAAAAAAAAAAAAAAAAAAAAAAAAAACTAGCAGGTTGCTGTAGCAGAGTTGGTCGACAAATTTTCGCCAAGTTTCCATAATCCAAAGATTAACCGACAAAACACCAGTAACATACTTAACTGGAATTATCAAACATATATTAATAGCCAGTACAGAAAAAAAAAAAAAAAAAGGCCTTCCCACAGGACTGGTGTATGAGCACCCGAGTCTCTGGAATTAACATCAATCTAAAATTAAATTTTTGTCTACTTTTAAAAATTACCATGATATTTAAAGAGTACTGGTGCCAGAGCATGTGTGGATGCACTAGGTAAGAGAATTTAAACTGTTTGACTGCTATGTGGCGCAAAAGCGGTGCGTTCATTTGTCTCAAAAACGCGACACAGCGCTTTTACGCTGCGAGTTTCAGTGCGTCTTTGTTGCTCTGTGGGTGTGAACATACGTAGTCTGACCTCATGCGTAGTTTGTAACATGAGTGCATTCTAAAATAACTAACTGCATTGTGGTTTTCAAGACAAATGAACGCAGCGCTTTTGAGCCGCATAGCAGTCAAATGGTTAAGATCTGCTGAGATGGCAAGCCCAGTGCCAGCCTTGTGTTTACATAATATGGAGTATTAAAAATTGAAATTATGTTGAATGTAGGTAATTTAATAGAAACAGAATGTCAGTAAAACATGCATAAGCTTTATATATATATATATATATAAAAAAAGACATTTCAAGAATGTATAAGCTAGCTTTTACATGACATACTGGAAAAAGTGGAAAAATACTCATGAGGAAAGTGCAGAATTGCCCGCTGCTTGGTGCGTTTTTAAGAATGAGATACATTCTGATAACCTCATCGATCACATGACTTGTATATACCTTTTGTAAACAAACAATGCAGATGACCTCAGAGATCACGTGACTTATGTACAGCTAATGCAAACAAGCTAGGTCATTCTTCCTCTTCTTCTCTTGCGGAACGTATCTCATTGCACATACTCGGTATCCATGTACACATTGACCTATTTTCACTTAAAAAAAATCCCAGAATTGCAAAAAAATGGCATTGCGCACATTCTTGACTTTATCCATGTACACATCAACCTATTTTCACTTTAAAAGTCAAACAAAATTGAGAAAAATACAATTTGGTTGATCTTTACATTATGGTAACTTGGCGAAAATTTGGCGACCAACTCTCCTACAGCAACCCTCTATTTTTTTTTCCCCGCCGCCATTTTGTCTTCACGAAGTAAAGACATGTTTCTTTTCTTTTTATCTACTGAACACTTCTTCCAACAATCTACTAGCCGAATTAAACTTATGCTAAAAATTTTATGTAACAAAACTGCTTAATCATGACAAATATTTACTGCAAAATTGGGAAAAAGTGCACAATCCCAAACTCCTTGCACGTTTTTCAGAATAGCACATACACATAAACCATGTCACTTCAACTTATGTTTACTTAAAAAAACACCCCAGAATTACACAAAAATGACATTGCGCACACTCTTCACTATATCCATGTACACTGCTTTTTTCTCATAAATTAGAAAAATTTCACGAAAATACATGACAATTTTCTGAATCTTTAAACCCGGTAAAAAGAAACATATATGAAATTACCTGATCGCAAAAAGTATATACCCTTTCCAATATGAACATTTCCACATATAAAATAAATAAAATATCCAAAACTTTTACCTCTAAATCATCTATTATATTATAAAAGTCACCAACGAATCATACCGCAACCATTACAAATACTTAGTGTCAAATATTTAAATTATTTCCATGCACGTTTACTTCAACTAAACGTATACAAATTCCTACAACATAAAATCACAAATAACTAGCATTTAATTAAATATCACTAAACCATGTACACGTCGACTTATTTTTACTTAAAAAAAAATCCTAGAATTGCACAAAAATGCATTGGCACCACTCTTCACCATATCCATGTACACTCCTTTTTTCTTAAATTAAAAAAATTTCACAAAATGCATGATAATTTTCTGAATCTTTAAACCCGTTAAAAAGAACATACAGTCAAAAGTCGTTAATTCGGACACCCATAATCCGGAATGATCTATAATCCGGACCTCAAAGCTAAAAACTTTCTGCGCATGTGCTGCATTGGCACGTGAGCACAGGCGTTTTACGCGTGCGTGTAAGACCTTGACTACTGCGCATATGCGTGTGCGCAAGTGCAGAATACGTTTTCGCCTGCGCGTTTAATGCATAACTGACGGTGTAAGCTAAAATTATCTAATTATCTATTTCAGTTAATGTTAATGATTGCGTTGTTACTTAATCTTCGAATTGGATCCCGCTTATTATTTTTTGCAGACTGTAAGAGCAATTTTATAAAAGTAACTTGAACTTTCGATTATGTCAATAGATTTCCGATGCTGGAACTTCCAAAGGATCTACAAAACGAAAGTATGTTTCGATGTCCCAAAACAAAAATGGATAAAGACATGAAGAAGTGACAGAGGTTAGTGAAACGAAAAAATTTCGATGACAAGTTAGTCGTCTTCTCGCACAGCAATTAACGGACTTGAAACAGCGGTACTTTGTAACTGAACAGAAATTATGTCTGTTTATAGAATTAAGAGAAAGTATATCACATAAAATGAAGCAACTTAAACAACTTACTTAAAAGAAATATTTAATAAAGTAAACAAAATAAATTAAACTTTTTTTTTTTTTTTTTTTTTGTAAATTTTGATACCCTTTAATCATAATTGTTCTTTTTTCATAAATTACGGTTTCATATTTTAATTTTAGAATTTCTGCATGCCATCCTTACGAGATTTACTGATGATCTATAATCCGGAAAAATCGATAATCCAGAATCGCCGAAGTCCCGACAGCCCGGATTAACGACTTTGACTGTATAGAAATTACTATACGAAAAAGTGTATACCCTTTCCAAATATGAACTTTTCCACGTATAAAATAAATAAAATATCCAAACCTTTACCTCTAAATTATCTATTATATTATAAACGCACTAACGAATTCATACCGCAAACATTACAATACTTAGTGTCAATATTTAAATTATTTCCATGCACGTACTTCAACTAAAACGTATACCAAATTCCTACAAACTAAAATTCACAAAATACTTCATTTAATTAAAATATAATTAAATTCAAAACACTACTTAAATAATAAGCACATACATTAATTAATAAATTAGCTTACAATCCTAATTACTTAACTAATCCATTGCTAATACAATTTTCCCAATAATACCAATTACTTTACTTCCACCTTACATTTAGAACAATGCAAAAATAATATCCTCAAATAATTAAAAATACTAACTTACTAATCTTCTTCAGAATCTGATTTTGTGTCCGATAAACTTTTCTTATTTCTGTTTCAGGATCTTTAAATCATACTTATAGTTCACAGCAAGTACCAGGTAAAATAAATAACTTAAAAACATTTACTTCTATCTCGCACAACCTTAAAGAAACACTTATTACTACACCCCTTTCATCCCACTAAATACCCATTTCGATTCACTTTATTGGGCATGGATCCCAAAAATTAACGAACACTGTTTTCACAACAACACAGAAATAAGCCAAATACAAAATTCCAGATTTTTTCCCGATTTCCCCCCTTTTTTCCGATTAAGAACCGTAATTCGTCCATTAATATCTCATGACATATCCCATGATCTCTCGTTTACCTCACACAAAATAATGCGTAATCGGAACTGAGTACTGCTCACATTATTACCAAAGTCCCAGGTAGTAACCTTTATCGCCTCCAAAATGTCGCCAAAGTACCAGTTACCATATTCTAAAGATCAGCCTCCAATTCTTCTTACTCTTCTAAAAAGCACCAAACAAATAACTGGGCGATTCTGCACTTCAGCCATACTCACTTAATCTGCCTATTCTATTCTTGTGTTGATTGGTTTATTAATTACAGCAAAGTCCCCAATGGGAATGAAGCTTGATACAGCATTCAACAAAATTGTTATGTCACTGTTAGACTAAAAAGGTACATAATGGAAGCACTTTTACTGATTTTGAGTTTTGTCATCTTATTAAGGTAATAAAGGATACCTGGAGCAAAATCAAATAAATTATCATATACTATGAGAGCTAAAATATTACATACTCTTCTTTGTCCCACTAAATTTTCAAAATACAGAAATTTGCCTCGGTTCTTTGTTGTTTTATAAAATACATGCACTTAAAAATATTTTCGAATTCTGCTTGTTAAATATATGACTAAATTCTTAAAAGAACTAAAAGTCTGCTTGTGAAACTGTTTATTTATTTTCTCTAGCACCTCTCCTTATTATAGAAATGTGGAATTACTTTTCTCCCAATGCGATCATGATAGACAAAGCAGAGAAACAAATTAACTGCTGACTTTGCCAGGGATCTTCTATTTGCGAAATATAATTTCAAAAACATGTCTAATGAAAATTTCATTACTTACTTTAGCAATATTGAAACATTCCTCAATCTTCACAAAAATATAAACAAACGTTCCTCAAATAAATTCAAGCTTCACAAATATATAAACAAACTTTCCTCAAATAAATTCGACAAACGTTCCTAAATTAACCAAATTAACATAAATTTTCTTGGTATTTAAAAACTCCTCTTAATAATTATTTCTTAGCTTGCCTAGGAAAATTACGTAACAAAATTTAGTAAAAATGTAGTACTTTGCTAATGCTTATTCTGGTTATGAAACCAAGCAAAAACTACACTTACGTCATTCGCTGTTCGTTTTCTATCTCAGATCGCAAAGTTTCCACATCTTTCCCTGCATCGATAGCTGCTTTACTGTTTACAGCTTTATTTTGCCGTCTAGAATACATGATACGTTAATAAATACAGGCGTTATATATTAAAGAAAACAATCTTTAACCTCTGCATCAGTTTATTTACTAACTTCACCGAAAACCGAAACGATTGATTTTATTTAACGTTGCCATTTATAGGATAAATTAATAACAATTTCTATGGTAGAATCACGGAGTATAGGGTAGAACCAAAGAGTTTGAATTGGGCGAAGAAGTAAAGCTTCAACATCACAGCAACGCCACGGAGAAAAATTCAGTCTAAAATGTGTAAGGCGTCGACAAACTTTACTACAGACAGACCCCAAGACTGTGATCCAAAACTGTTATACGTGTAACTGTAACTGTATCTATTATTATCTTTAATCATAACTGAGGGCGCTGCGATCACCGAGGCGAGCGGCTGCACGCTCGCAGCGCTCTGTAAAAAAGTGTAAAACATTTTTTTCCCTTTAGTGATTATCAATTAAATTACTTTGAAATAGTGTTTTTTCTACAAAACCTACACTTTTTCAAAAGATTTTCAGCTGCGATGTTGATGAGAATGAAACAGCGGACAATGTGAGAATATACTACGAAAGCCTGGAATTTTAAGATAAGTACCCTTCTTTCATCTAAACTAAATCAAATTTCCATAAATAAGTGCCTTTAAATCAATAAAGTTTAATTTTTCCTTAGAGTTTAGCAGTAAACAATACTTTAAATTGCTCATTGCTTTTAGCTTCCTTTGTGGTTACTGTTACATCTAAACTCCGAACTATCAGCGCCTCCACATCTAAACTTCGAACTATCAGCACCATTACATCTAAACTCGAGAATAATCCTACGTAAGAACGTAGTTAGAACTCTGAACCCGAACTCGAATGACTGTTAGATGGAGAGCGCGTAATTTCTATGTAACGTAATAATTGTATATAAATGTATCTAAATATAATATCTTTATTTATACAGAAGTGTCAGTCTTTATGAAAAAGCTTGGAATTATTTAGATATTTCATCTAATAAGAATTAGAATGGAACAAGCTCGGCTCCCGGGTGAAAGAAAAGGTAAGAGATTTCTTTTTTTAACCTCTTAGAATTCTATTGAGAGATACAACATTTTTTGGCATCCCTGCTGGGACGCCCGAGCTAAAGAATGAGAATTTAAATTAGACAATAAAGATTAATAATACAATTATTGATTACTTTTTGAATTTTTGAACTGTTAAGAACATGTCTGAAGAGATCTTAAATAAGTTAAAAAAGAAGCGCGCAGCTCTCCGAACATCAGTAACGAAATCGCTTAAAGATGTGGAATCGCAGCTTTCGGAACATTGATCCGAAAATTCATGATTTGGAAGAAAATTTAGAAATATTAAAGAATAATTTCGAATCGCTTAAAAGTGTCGATACAGAATTAGAACCTCTTTTAAAGTCGAAGAATTTGATGCTGAATTCCAAAAATCTGAAGAATATCGTCAAAAAGGTCGTTAAATGCAGTTTCCGTACCTCCAAAAGAATCGACGAATTAAAACGCAAATCTACTGAAACGGTAAATACTAGTCAAATAACCAGTTCAGTACTGACAGACAAAACGAAACAAAACATAACGAGTCTGTTCGAATTAAATTATCTAAGTTAACTTAACGAAATTCTACAGAGATATAAACAACTGGCTAACCTTTTGGAACAGTTTCGAGTCTGCCATTCATAAAAATGATTCATTAGATAAAATAGACAAATTTAATTATTTGAAAGCTCATTTAGGTGGTTCTGCTTTAAATACAGTCGAAGGATTACCGATTACTGCTGCTAATTACGATTCCGCAATTGATCTTCTAAAAGAAAGATTTGCGAAAACAGATGTGCTCATTTACACTCACATAAATAACATTTTGAACACTAAACCGTTGAAAATCTCGAATGATGTTCGCGCCTTTAGAAAATTTTATGATAATATTTCTATCGAATTAAGATGTTTAGAAAATTTGGGTCAGTCTCTCGAGAATTTATCAAGTGTGTTATGTCCAATATTCTGAAATCACTTCCCCAAGATATTTTGCTTGAGATTAACAGAATGAGTAATGGAAGTGCGTATTGTAATATTAAAAGCCTGTGCTTGATTATAGCTCAATGTTTAGATTCACGCGAAAGGGCGGAAGTCATAAATAAGAATTCAGAGCATTCGACAGCGAATAGTGGGCGCCGTGCAGTCCGTTTACGATTTGGCAAATAAACACTCGTCATTTCAGCGATGGAAAGAGCAATAAATTAGAAACGAAAGCTTCTTCTGCTTCTGATTTAGTGTCCACGGGTATTAAAGAAAAATTGATTAAGGCATGCGTTTTTTTGCGGAGATTTTTCCCATTCAAGCCATAAATGTCCTATTGCACAGAAACTAACGAATGACGAAAAGGTTGAAATACTACGCAAAAATGGCAATTCTTTTTATTAATTTATTTAATTCACTTGTTTTAGGTGTTTACAAAATAAGGGTCACATCAGCAAATTTTGTGATTCTAACATTTTTTGCTCCCATTGTCACTCTAAGCATTCTACGATTATGTGCAACAGAATTAATTCCGAGAGTAAAAAGGGAACGATCAAAACTGTCCAGGAAGTTGAAAATAAAGTACTTTCGAATCAAAGCAACCGTTCTGAAGTTTATTTACAAACTTTGGTCGTAGGGGTAGCTGGGAAAACCTTAAAGGGTTATTTAAGACTGCTAATAGATACCGGAAGTCAGAACACGTACATAAGTCAATATGCTGCTAAAACGTTGAAATTAGAAAAGATAGGAACTGAAAGAATTAAACATGGGTTATTTGGAGGTGTAGAAGTTTCTGAAGATCATAATCGTTATCAAATAGATTTAACTAGTTTAGATGGAAAGTGCAGGTGTAAAATCGAAGCACTAGACCAGAGAAAAATTTGTTCGTCACTACCTAAGAATCAAAGACGAAAAGTTGATTAAGAGTATTGGAGAAAAAGGGGAATCCTTATCAACGACAATCATGAGAATGGAAATCTCCTGTCTGTTTCAAGAAAATCCGGAAGAAGATTCATATGCTGTTAGGAGCGGACACCGCAGCACAATTGTTCACTGAAAGAATTGCAAACATTTTTGCGGGGGATTACGTAGCCTTTGAGACCAAGTTAGGCTGGACTTTAATGGGCAAGATTAAAGAGAATGCGAATACGTCGACTTCCCTGTCCGTTCTTTCTTTATCCTTTACATGTTTCCGATACAAATTTGTCCAATCTTTGGCGTTTAGACACCTTGGGGATTTCAAGTGAGGAAAAAAAACGAAAACGTGTATTGGAAGAAGAAACCCGAAAACATTTCTTAAAAGTGTAAAACGAAGATAGCTCAGGGAGATATGAAGTAACCTTACCCTTTATTTTAGATAAATCTGTCTTATCCAGTAACCGTACTGTGGCAGAAAGACACCTCGTCGAAACCGAAAGTAAACTAATTAACACACGCAAAAGAAAAGATTACGAAGAAATATTTGATGAGTGGGAAGCGAAGGACATTATTGAGGAAAAGGAGGAAGGAGTGCACTACTTGTCACACAGACCTGTAAGAGTCTAGTGAAACTACAAAGATACGGCCTGTTTTCAATGCATCTGCACGTTCTAAGAATTCACCCTCTCTCAATGATTGTTTGAGTAAAGGACCAAATTTAATAGAAATTATTCCAGTATATTGAATCGTTTTCGAAAATATCGCATAGGAGTGTCATCTGATATCGAAAAGGCCTTTTGTCAAATCAAAATAGCAGAAAAGGATAAGAGATTTTTTAAGGTTTCTATGGTTCGATAATCAAACATAATTTGAAAATTTACCAGACATAACCGAGTTGTTTTTGGACTCACATCAAGTCCGTTTCTGCTAGCCGCTAACACTTAGTCACCTTTTGACTACAGTCCCAAAAAAGTTTGCAGAAACTTCTAATATTTTGAAGGATTCATTTTAACCTCGATAATTCGTTAATTAGCTTAAATCATGTAGATGAAGCCGAAAATTTCGTTTCAAGAAGCAAAGATTGATTTTGGCTTCAGGGCATTTCAATTTGAGATGTTGGCGATCAAATTTTCGCATTGACATGATCGATGAGATAAGAGAATAAGTCGAAATTTGTCCCAGTATTGGGATTAGTATGGAGATTTAGAAAAAGATAGTTTGAAGTTGCAAGATCGAAGAAACATTTAACTTGAGGGAACCTATTACCGAAAAGAAAAGTTTTGTCAATTACCCAGAAAATTTTTGATCCCCATTGGCTTTACTGCACCGATAACTGTAATTCCTAAACTAATTTTGCAAAAAACTTGGAACCAGAAGATTAAGTGGGATGAAGATCTTCCTCTTCCCCCTAAGTGAGCAGTTTGGGACTTGGTTGAACCAATTGCCTCTGCTATCTCAGATTGAAATTCCTCGTTGGTTAAATATTGATTACGAAAACGAAGATACCGTAGTGCTCCACGTTTTTTCGGATGCTAGTAAAAGAGCCTATGCCACATGGGCATTTTTAAGAGCTGAAACCATTCGAAGGTGTAAAGGTTCAGTTAGTAAGCACGAGAAGTCGAATAGCCCCTTATTAAAGGAACTTACGATTCCACGGCTTGAACTTCTCTCCTGTCTGATAGGTGCCAGGCTTGCCAAAAACATTCTATCAGATTTGAAATTTAAGAATTGTAGAACAGTGTTCTGGAGTGATTCTTCTACAGCTTTGGGGTGGATAAGAAGAGATCAAGCATTAGGGTACGTTTGTTCACATAATCGAGTACAAGAAATAAGATCGCTTACCAGAATATCTGACTGGAGGCATGTACCTGGAAGTTTAAACCCAGCGGATCTCCCATCGAGAGGATGTACTATTGAGCAGTTACAGAAATCGGCATGGTGGGAGGGTCCATCGTGGCTTTACCTTACCAGGAAGACGAGTGGCCCCATGTAGAAGAAAAGCCTGATGAAGAACTTATAAACAAAGAAAAAAGGAAAACGATCTGACTCTTCTAGATCATGGAGACAATTTGGACCGGTACTACAAATACTTCTCTTCATATAGAAAAACCGTGAGAATGATCGCTTGGATTTTCAGGTTTATCACAATTTAAGAACAAAGATAAAAACCTCACTCCTGATGTCTCAGTTGATGAATTGGAGAATGCTGAAAAGGCACTTTGTAGATTGGTACAGAAAGAATCATTTAACAGGCATAAACGATCCGCATTCGTGAGCTGAGACCAATCGTAGACCGAAATGGAATTTTAAGAGTCAAAACGAATTTTAAGAGC